TTTTCTCAGGGAACTTGAGAAATTGACCAAATGAAAGGAATTCATGATGAGATTTACTTGTGTTGGATTGCCTTTACTACTAGTGAGTGAATCCTTACAAAATAATATGTTTATAAAGCCTAGAATGCTCCAAAGGAGAATTTGGAATTCTTTGTCATTGAATCCAGCTACTGGGTTTCATTGAAACCTCAAACCTAACAAATCTCATCAAATCAAATTAACCCTTCAATAAACAATATGAATCAAACTCTAATCAAATTCCAATAAGAATACAATCAAACTCTAATCAAATTCCAACAAAAATGTAATCAAATTATAAATCAACTCCCAAATTTATTAACAACTAGAAATGGAAATCAAAAAATGAATGAAAAAGCATGAACCTAGCGTCAAAATAGCAAGGCTGGTTTACGCAACCAGCAAGGCTAGGTTCATCGAAACCTAATCGATCTAGGTTTCAACGAACCCAGCAAGGCTGGGTTTCGACAAAACGAGCAAGGCTGGTTTGCTCAACCAATAAGGTTGGGTTCATCGAAACCCAGCAGATCTGGATTTCTTGACGAACCTAGCCTTCGACAAAACCAACAAGGCTGTTTCGCACAACCAGCAAGATTGGGTTCATCGGAACCCAGCTGATCCGGGTTTCAACGAACCCAGTAGATATGTGTTTCGTCGAACCTAGCCTATTTCCACTGACCCAAGGTAGGAAAGAAAAAAAGAGAAAGAAAGAAGGGGAAGAAGAGGGATTGGGAGAGTGAGGGTAATAAGGTAATTGTATTTGTTTTTAATTAAAATATAAATATTAATTTACGTGGCATTTTTATTTATTTATATAACATAATTATAATATATATTATTGCCATATTATCAAAAAAATTAAAAGACAATGCCACATGGAATTATTTAACTGTCACATCATACTTAACTGACGCAAGGACTAAAACTGTGCAATTTTTAGAGTTGAGGGATTAAAAAAGTACAAAAAATTGTTGAGGAACCAAAAATATGCATTTCGTAAAGTTAAGGGACTAAATTTAGCATTTAACCTAATTTTTTTTGGATGGTGATTGGAAACCGGGATGCTCGCATCTGAGGCTAGAACAAAGTTATTCAGCATTTGTTTGGGATCTCTTGGCCTAGCCAAGGTTAGCACCTTCTGGGTTCTAAGAATTTTTTTTTTTTTTTTTTAACTCAGTGAAATCTTTTCATTACAGCATCGTCATATGGCATTTACAGCAAAGCCTTATCCTATAGATAAGAGTAAATAACAAATAGATAAAGTACAATTGGGAAGAAAAATTAGATTAGATCCAGTTTAACAGTGGTAATAAAGGGCGGTGAACAATACACACGAACAACCTTGAAGGAACAAGTTTGTATAGATTCCTTTGATTGAACGATCCAGATAACTAGACACCCTTCAATTTGCTCTTGTAGGAGTTGCGCTTGGTCTCCAAGACACCAAGGTGAGTAGATCCAAGCAAGCGGTGACCATCGCCCATAATCATCATGAGAGGCTCAATAGTCAGTAGATCTAGATAAACCAACGATCGCCTCCTAAGATCTACGTGGTGAATTGATTGGCCACTGGATCTGAGATCAAACAAAAAAAAAAAAAAAAAAAACTAGAAAAACAGAAAAATAAGAAAAAGACCACTAGAAGGGGTCCCAAAAGCTGATAGACCACAAAGGGGTCGTCAGAACAAGGAGCACGAGATCGATTTAAGCATCAAAAACTCGAAAGGCCAAAGGGCTTCCGAGCACAAAAAAACGAAACGCAGAGGAAAAGTAGTCAAAAGCGAGAGAAAATAGAGAGAGAGAAAGAGAGAGAGTTTTTTTTATGAGGTCTAAGAATTTTAATTTGAAATATCATTACTCTTACC